AGTATCCCATAGAAACCGAGCATACGACGCAAGAACATGACTGCAATAAACACCATTCATCAACTATAAGATTTACATTTATCATATATGGGACCCCAAACGAATAGTTTCCACTATATCTCAATCATCTAGTGCCACACCAGCCAGATAAAACATTGTTAAATAAAGAAACTCACAAATGATGACTTTGTCATTTTTTTTATGTCGGAGGCTATTATTCTACCACAAATTGACCAATCAGTTCTTCAAAAGTTGGATATAAAGAAATAACATTTGATCCACATAATGGTATCTTATTATCCTATTTCAACCAAATCCATTCCCATTAATAATCTAAAGCTGACCATAAAAAGAAAATTCATTTCCCCAATAGGCAATATATATCAGCAATCTACAAAAATGGGTTTGTAAACTATACAAAGTCATTAACTTGCATCTTGGAGAGTCTTGAAGAAAGCCTGAATCCAAAGTCATAGTTTCCGAGTCGAGATCATTAGTGTTCTAATCAGATTCTGGACAATAACAATTCTAGTAATATGTTATACTCACCAATCATGTGGAGAAGATTGAACAGCTTGATCAAAGTAAGACTGAGCACGAACACTATCTCTGTGATTTTTCCATATCAAATCTCCATACATAGACAACATCTCTCCATCTCTACCATTATCAGATAACATAGCTCTCTCACAGTACTCCTCTGCTTTTCTCTCATCACCTGTCACCTACAAAATACCTCCCACAAATCAAGAAATGTTGAATTGAAAAGCAGTAACGTAAATCAGTATATTCAACCAACCAAAAACACAAAATCAAGAACACAAAATCGATTTCCATATAGCAATAATACGTTATAGTTTAGCTCTGCTTCTACATATCTCTATAAATAGCATCATGTTAGAAAAGTCGATTAGAAAACAGAAAACTCAATCAAGATTCCTCTAATTAGAAAACAGAACTCAAATTAGATCAATCGATGAACTATAAATCGTATAATTACAAATAAATCTGAATATATACTAAGCAAATGAATAGATCATGACATGGAGAAAGGAACATGAAAAAATACATTCAGATTTCATGGAGATCATCTGGGCAGAGGAGAAGCTGCAAATGGAAGAAGCCTTCCTATGGAAGTTGTCCTAGCAAAAACAGGAATCAAGCTCACATGAATAAAACAGAAATATGAACCAAGGAACAATGTTATTGAAGGGAACACAAATCGTTATCAATTTTGAGGTAAAACCATGGATTCTACTTCTTGTTGGCGACCCCATTTTTGTTCACCAGATCCTTTCAAGCTTTGATTTCCATCCTCCAACTATGTCATTGTAATCCTCCTGCATTACAAAAACGTTCGAAAAAGATGTTGGATCAATGAAAAAGTGGTCTTTTATTCAATGAATTTGGTAGTGAGAAATGTTTTTACTTCCGAGAAGTCGCTGATGAATTCTTCTTTTTCTTTCTCCACTCTCTCTAATTCACGCCTCAGGACTTGTACAAACTGCGAAAATGGATTATGTTAGAGTCCCCATTATACAAAGAAATGTATACATGTATGTTTTACGCAGGATTCACCTGATCAGTACGATCTTCAACGATCACATCCTCAAAGCCTAACCCAAAACGAAAACAAATCGAATTCGTCAAATCCGACTCCATCACGAAAACAAAACAGCATCAGCTCAAATCACGAAGATCTGCGACAATACCTCAATCAGAAATCATAGATCCATTAACATAGATGCAAATCCATTAACACCAATCAATCGCAAAACCCAATC